ACCAAGGTAGAACCTCAGTGGTGAGTCAAATGTCCAAGCAGCTACAAGAGAGAAAGCTGGGCAGTCTGCTCCCACGGGAATCACAGCACTGGAAACCCAGGGGAGGGTCAACCAGGAGTCAGTGTCTATTTATGGACACCTTTCACATGTGAGTATAAATAGGTATCTCAAAAATGAGTTTAAAAAAGAACTTTGATTATTTGAGAAGGGATACAGTACCGTTGAGAGAGTACTTTATGTCAGATTGAAGAGTCAGCTATATTTTCTAAGAATCTAGTACTAGCCTTTAATGTATTTTCGGTGCCCTGATAGAGATAATACGTATTTTACATATTAGAAAGGAGGCTTCCAGCGATGAGGACAGCTAAGCACTTGACTGTTATTTTGTGTACCATCGAGCCAGAACAGACTCAAAGCTTGCCCTGCAGCAGGTTTTAAGAGGTGGGAAGTTGTACAGAAGGAGGTTGCCCCTTTGTCTCTCACAGTGCAGCTGAAGGAGTCAAACCTTTGTGTTGGCAGCACAGTTCTTACCATTAAGCCACCGAAGCTCCTTAAGTGCTTGGCTACTAACTATAAGGTTGGTGGTTTGAGCTCATCCAGATGCTCCTAAGAACTGGTGATCTGCTCCTAAAAAGGTCGCAGCCTCCAAATCCCTGTTGAGTCTAGTTCTACTGTGATTCCATATTGCCTGCTTGGCAGCTTTGGTCTTGTTGGGTTATGTTTTTTCACAGATTGCAAGACAAAAGCGTTGTCCTCTTGATTAAGATGTATAATGAGCTTGCTTTTTGGTGGAAGAAGCATAATTATATATTCATAGTTGAAATCCAGTATAATTTTAGCATTAGTCAAGAGAATTATTTTTATTTCAAAAACTCACTTATTAATGAACACTAGATAAGCATGCAACTGAATATTTCTCAAAACAGATACTAATTTAAATATGCAGATGTTGTTGTGTGGTGCCATTGAGTCAACTGACTCATTGTGACCCAGTGAATAGCATTGGAGCCTTATCCTATGCCATCCTAATAATGATCTTGTTGCAGTCATTGTTAATCTCCCTGTTTTGTCTTCTGTACAGTGTGAGAACAAATCTTTTTTTTTAAACAAAGTTGATTTGAGAGTCTGTCGTATTTCATGAGGCAGAATTTTAGTTGTTACCCATTAGGGAGCTCTGGGGGCTATTGGCAAGAAGCTGTGCAGCAATCCCAAAGGCACACAGTTCGAGGCCACCAGCTCCTCCACAGGAGAAGGATGAGCAGTTTCCTCTCATGTAATCAGTTGCCTCAGAAAACCTGCTGGAGGGTCAGCTATGGGTCAGTTCCTACTCTGTAGTACTCAACAACAATAATTCATTGAAAATATTTGGTAGACATTAAGATGTAGGCGGAGATATTCTCCCCCCACCCCACCCCCACCCCATGTTTCAGCAAAACTTTATGTATGGACTTTGAAGTTTGCATTTTCTGTAACTTCCATACCTTGGATTAGTATTCTTAGCTGGTGAGCTGTACAGAAGCAGACAACAGGCCAGAGTTGGCAGTGGGGGCTATTGTCTACTGATCTCTGATCAACATAAATAATTGTAGAACAAAGGCATTGGTGAGCATGCCAGACAGGGAAAGGATCCTCATAGTTAACTCTAGCTACATAAGGATTTTTTTTTTAAATACAGAATACTCATTTTTTTTTTTAAATTAATGTAACACCTGTACTCTTTCTCAGGGTTCTACTGAAAAGAAATCTGTATGTTAAATTTCTGTAATAGTTGCAATCTGAAATGGCTATATCCAAAGTGAAAGTGTTTCCTTCCTTTTCTTCCACAGCAAGACCACACGACAGAGGTGCTGGAAGAACACAGTCACGCCTTCTCAGGGCAGCGTTCCGTGGCGGACCTCCTTCAGAACCAGGCTGGACACATAAGTAGCTCCAAGCTTGTACTGCACAGCACCAGCAAAGAAATTGTGAGGAGAAGGAAGTTGTTTCAACCAACATGATAAACACTTTTTCTTTCCCTCTGTAATGTGAAAAACCAAGAACTTACTGACAAAAGACAACAGAAAAACTCCTGGAATGTCAACATATGGCACAAATTTCTTTTTTACCAATAAATATTTTTGTAATTACCTTTGTTTAACAACAACAAGAAAATTTCTGTTTTTAAAATTGTGAAATTGTGGCAACTTCTGGCTTTGCATCTACCTTCTGAGGTCAGTGAACATCTAAGCTGAACTGACTGAAGTGAAATAGCAGTTCTGAGGATGTGTAGAAATATGTTCAAATTGAAGGCACTATTTTAAATTTTTTCATTTACATCAAAAACTTCTGAGCCCACAGATAAATTTAAAGCATTACTTGTGTGAAAATGCTCTATTTAGAGATAAACTTGAAAGTTCCAAAGTTTCCTAAAATTTTAAGTCTTGAATTAATCATTCAGCTGGTGAGGGTATTTGTCATTCCATTGATAATTGCTATGGTCACTACTTTATACCTCTGTCAGTATCATATATAATAGCATGCATTTTTTTCTATGCATGGAATAAATCTATGTTCATTACTAGGGTAGGGCATTCTTTCCAGTAAATCTACTGGTCATGCTTAGCCAGGGAAAGAAATAAGGAATAAAAATGAAGACCCAGGGGAAGCAGCAGGGACTGAGATGATGGAAGAGTTTCTGTGACTTAAATAAAGTTGCAGTCAGGAAAAAATACACTTAATTCCATCTTGGAAGTAAAATGAATATAACTTTTTTGCAGTATCTTTGTAGAATATATATTTCTGTTCATAACACTGTAAAATGGTTTAATTCTAAAGAAATGAATTCATATACATTCCAAGGAAATAAAGACTATTTTGTGTTACTTTCTTCCTTTTTTCATGCTGATAAATTTGTTCTTGTTGTTGTTGTGTCAAGTCAGAACTGACTTATAGTTGGCCCTCCAGTGACTTTTCGGAACAGTAAATTTCAAGGGAGGAGATTGCCCATCTTTCTTCTATGGAGCAGCTAGTGACTTCATACCCTGTGCCTTTATCATTGGCATTGCAATACCTTACTAGGGGATGCTCTGATGGCTTACTGGTAAGGAATTGTGCTCTCAACACAAAAGTATCTGGTTCAGATCCACCAGTGGCAAGAAAGATGGGCAATCCATTCCAATGGGATTTACTGCCCTTGAAAACTTGCTGAAGGGTCAACTATGGCTCCGTTACAACTTGGCAGTACATAAGAACAAGAAGCCACCAGAGCTTCCCGTATAAGTATACTAGTAAATACATTAGTAAGCTGCAAGAAGGGGGTGGAATGTTTATATAGTTTGTTCATCATCTTCACCAACAACAGTACCCATTAAAATGATTAGCAGAGCTGAAACATTAGGAAGTTTAGGCTTCAGTTGTATAAGTTGTTTTAGATACAGTATAAACAAGATAACTGGTGAAAGTAGGGAGAGTTCTAGATTCTAAGGTTATGAGTACCCTGCCTACAACTTTTATAACACACCAGAAGATAAAGATTACATCAAGGCACAGAAACTGGTCCCTATTATTTGTGAGCAACAGAGGAAGGCAATGAATAGGAGGAGGAAAGACAGTGTGTGCCCACTTTCCATAAATTACCTCTGAAATAAGACCATTTTGATCAAAGAGTGTATGGAAGCTTTCTAGTCCTTCATATAAGCCATTTCTTACTATTGGACCCATAGGCAACATCATGATAAATGGACAAAAGGTTGAAACTATCAAAAACTTCTTATTTGGATCTACAATATCTTTGGTGGCAGGAGAACAGGAGAAATACTACTTTACCGGCAGTGACCTCCACATGCCTATTGCAAAGGATCTCCTTCATCCCTCTCCAGAAGAAGAAAAGAGGAAATGCGAGAAGCGACTGGTGCAGAGTTCGAATTTCTAGTTCATGGATGTGAAATGCCCAGGATGCTGTAAAATCACCACAGTCTTCAGCCATGCACAAACAGTAGCTTTGTGTGTTTGCTGCTCCACTGTTCTCTGCCAGCCTACGGGAGGAAAAGCAAGGCTTACAGAAGAATGCTCCTTCAGATAGAAGAGTGTTAAGAAAAACACGCAGAATCAAGAACAGGAGATTATCTCAGAGTTTTGGATTTTAAGAAAAGATACTACTATGGGAAAGTCTGATGTCAGGGAACTTTACAAATTATTGAGGAGCAATGATGTCAGTTTAAGGACTGGACAGTGAATAAGGATGACAGAAAAATAATCGCCGTCTTTGACCTTTGGTATTAGAGAATACTATCTCATCGACTGCCAGTAGAACAAACAGGTATGTCTTGGGAAAGGTGCAACCAGAGTGCTTCTTGGAGGCAAAGATTGACAAAGCTTCATCTCACATGTTGCTCGGAGAGTGCCATGATGTTTGGAAAGGTGGAGGGTCTGCAAAGGAGAAGACCCTCAACTGGATTGGTTGACAGTGACTGCAGCAATATAGCTCGAGTATGTCAGCAATGGTGAGGATAGGACAGGATTCATTCAGTTCTGTTGTTTATAGGGTCGCTATAGATCACACTCAATGCGAGGTCACAGTGACAGCAACATTAATCTTAGCAGATTAATCTTAATCTTAGCTCTGATCTGGCATTCCTTCCCTCATTTTACTACTACTTTATTAGCGGTATTCCAAGGGCCTGGAATATTCCGGTGATTGCTGGAGGCAGTGAGAATCAGGTGGCCAGAGTCTAGAGCCAGACCCTGGGGAAGTCAGACAGGCAGTGTGCTTCTTGTAAGACGGAACACTGGATTGACGTACAGGGGCTACATGTAACCCTTGAGTGTTGAGTGGGGATCCTCATATTTGATACGATTCTGTATGGACAGACCTGTTGATACCAGTGTGCCTTTTAGGTGTCATTTTTTTCCCGGGTGTTCTGGCATGGAAAGGTCTGCGAATCAGCCAGTCTTAACACAGAGGCAGCAAAGTAAATCTAAATAGAAACGCCTCGGTTCACTTTGCCTCCCAGAGCAAGGAGATGCACATTCCGATCAGCTCCGGCAGAAGAGCGTGGGGGCGGAGCCTGTCGGAAGAGGCGGGGACCGAGGGGCGGAGCCTGCACAAAGGGGCGGGGTTCGCGGGAGCAGGAGGTGAAGGAGGGCGTTCCACTTCCGGGTCAGGTCTTTCCCCGCCCCGTGGTCCGGAACGCGGTCTGAGCATGGCGAACAGTGGCGGTGCTGGGGCGGCGGGAGCTGCAGGGAATATGAATGCAGTGAAGGAGAATATGAATGCAGTGAGGGAGACCATGGACGGTGAGTTTCCCCTTTCTCGTCTTCGCCTCCACAGTCAGAGTTTACGAGGCGAGGGAAGACTTTAGGTCGGCTTCCAGTCCCAGATGGCATCTTTGAAGACTTTGGGCCTGGACTGCCCAGAGCCGGAGAGCCGACTGGTGTCCTCTTTGAGAGTGTTTTAGTGGCCTCTGCGTCGATTGTCGCTCGCGCAGCTCTGGGGCCCCGCTCGGTGTGTAGTTCGGCATCTCTTGTCGGGAACCCTGCGTGCTTTGAACTCCGGCCGCGTCTCCCGCCCTGACCTGTCGCCCGGCTCCCGACAGCCCCACCCCGGGATCCGCGCACCCTGGCATCCCGCCGCCGCGCCCCGGTCCTCCCCCGCCCCGCGCTGCAAGGACCTGAGCCTGCAGACCAGAGAGGGTGTGTCTGGTCGTTTGCACTTAGGTAGACTTTTACACATGCAGGGAATATAGAATGGCTACGACAATAAAACTAACTTAGAAAACCAGAAACAAATCCTCTTGTGGGTTTCCTGGAAGCACTGGTGGCCCAGTGGGGAGGGAGGAGAAAGATGGGCTCTCCCCTCCTGTGCGATAGTCAGTCCTTGAAAACCCGCTGCCCGGTCAGCCATGGGTCAGTTCAGACTCGATGGCAATGAACTGGTTGTAAATTGAGACGAACACTTTGTAATATCTTAAGCAAAAAGACTCTCTACTGCAGTTATGGATGGTAGACTAACCTTTCAGGCTTTTTTAAAAAATTATTATTCATGTTAATGAAAGTTTACAGAAACTTTGGATTTCCACTCATTCATTGTTGCATTTTTCTCCCTACCTACCCTTCCCCCTCCAGTTCATTCTTCTCTTTGAAAAGTAAAAGAAAAATTCCTTCGTTGTTATACAATCCCTCCCCCATGTTGTTTTTGTTGTTGTTGCTGTTAGTTATATGCCAGAGCGACCCTGTGAACAGGGCTCTTAACCCTGCCGTTTCCTGTGTCATCTTCATCTCTGACACACTTGAGCTCATTGCTGCAGTCACTATGTCCATCTGGTTGAGATGCTGACCCTTCGCCTTTCTAGCAACATGCCCAAACTATGTCAGAAGAGGCTTCACCGTCCTTACCTCTAAGGAACATTCTGGCTGCATCTTCAATATGTGAATGCTTAAATTCTCAGTCCCCGGTGCAAGTGTAAAACGAGGGAGTCCTGGTGGCCTAGTGGTAAGCAACTGCGCTGCAGTACAGAAAACACGCAGTTTGAATCCACAGCCACTCTGCGGGAGAAGGACGGACATTAACTCCCTTTGAAAACCAGCTGGAGGGTCAGATATGGGTGGATTCTGAGTCAAAATTACTCAACAACGATGTAAAACTAATATTTTTTTTTCAACGTCTTAAAATGAAGTTTCCCCCATAACCCAGTGGAATTAAGAGAAAGTGCTCTATCAACCTGAAGCCTGTTCACTCAATTTTGGTCATGGTGCCAAGCTGTCTCTGGAGCCTTACAACTGGGCCAATTAGTCAGAGCTCCAATAACACGCCCGAACAACTGAATGAGGGAAGACACTTTGGAATGTCTCAGGTTTCCAGACATTCATTTGACCAGCATCTCCCCTAAAATCTGCCCGGCAGAGAGACAGATTTGGGAAGTTCATATCCTCTGTCTACTATATATCGTTATATAAAAGCTGGTTTTGCACTCCCAACACCTGTCTTCTAGATTGGTTTATCCTGTAACAAGACCATGATTTTCTTAGAAACAAATTTGCTGAATTGTATAGGGAGATCCGGTAGCCTAGTGGTGAGAAGCTGTGCTGCAATCCTGAAGACATGCAGTTTGGTTCCGTTTGAGGTCACCAGCTGCTCTATCAGAGATGGACGGGCAATCTCCTCCTGTGAGATTACTGCCCCTGAAAACTTGCCAGAGGGTCAGCTATGGGTCAGTTCCAACTCTATGGGACACAGTAACAACTTTGGGACCAGGGGCCTGGAGCCCCTTGAAGGGATCTCAACTCTGTGAAGACAGTTCTCATCATTTGCCCTGAGGGCTGCCTTGCAGAAGTGTGTTTGCTAAAGCAGGACACTGCCAGTCTCCAACCACTTAAAGGAGTAGAAGAAACAGAATTCAGAGACATCTACAGGAGCTCACTGAACTAGAGAGCTGGAGCCAAGGACTTTCCCCTGATTCTTAGGAGATTTGAACAAAACTGGCAGATGTAGTTCTAATTAAGCTAGGTAATGGTAAGCCCAACCCCTGAGTAGTAACTAAAATTTACAAATGCAAAGTTAAGATAAAGCTGCATGTGTATGTATTCTTTGTGTGACTCAGTAGTCTAAGGTATAAGGGGAAGAAAAGGAACTTTTCTTCTGTCAGATTTGGTCAAAATAGACCAAAACTAACCAAGATTAGGACAAGTGGAAAATTTGCTCCAACTTGGCTTATAAGGTGCCTGGTGTTTGCCAACATCGTCTTACTATCACTTCTTTACCTGTCCCAGAAACGGTACTAAAGTGAAAAGTCTCAGGAGGGTAGCGGGGGGAAGACAGTTTACACCTGCTCATTTTCTAGAGACGGTATTGGGTATTGTGGCTACTTGGAAAAAACATAGCTATGTCCCTCTGTGCAAATAAGCAGCTGCCTTTGTTTAGCATCTAAGTGATGCCTTTTCTTTTGGCTTGTTTTCCTTACACCATTTTTTTCTGTTTCTGACTTATTTGTGTTTATTATCTGTGTATATTTAACCATCTTAACTTGTTGCCAGAATGTTCTCCAGCCCTCTCAGAAAAGTATATCTTTTGCTCTTCCACACTCTGTCATAGACCTAATTTGAAAAGATTATTTTTTGTTATTTGCCCAGATTTCCCCTGAGTGTTGAATAATAAATAGGAAGCAAGAAATAAATACTTAGAAATGAGAAATCACAGTACCATCCCCAAACTGCAGAATTGATCTCAGTATTCTTTAGGCAGCTTAAAGCAGAAAAGACTAATTTTCCTAAATAATAATTGCCAGGCCCATGTATCAGCCAGGGAGCTCTGGTGGTCTAGTAGCAAGAAGCTGTGCTCATTCTCAAAGGCACATGAATCCATCCACCAGCTGCCCCGTGGGAGAAAGGTGAGCAGCCTCCTCCTTTGCAGTTACCTGCCTCTGAAAACCTGCTGGAGGGTCAGCTGTGGGTCAGTTCTGACTTGCTGGTACACAACAACAACAACAACAAACAACAGCTATCAACTAGAAGGCCAAGACAAGTAGCAAGTAAAAAAGCCCCAAACTGTCATATGACACTATTGTACATGTTTGGGGCTGTCGAGTGGACCATGACTCCGAGCAACCTTAGGAACAAGGGATATGAACTCTGTCATATTCTGAGCCACTCTCATCATCTCTGACATAAGCATAATGCTACAGTCACTGTGTTAATCCATTTTGTTGAAGGTCTCTCTCCTCTAACCCTTCTCCTTTTTAAGCATGATGTCCCTTTTTTAGAGAATGGCCCCTCTCACATACTTCGGACATGTTCCTAGGAAAGGCCATTTCTTGGAAAAGATTATCATGCTTGGAAAGGTAGAGGGTCAATAAAAAAGAGGAAGACTTTCAGCCAGATGGATTGAAACAGGGACTGTAGCACAGGGCTCAAGTATTTCAGAGGTGATGAGCATGACACATAATAAAACAGGGTCCAAATCCGTTCTTATTAGGGCCACTGTGAGTCATACGCAACTGGACAGCACCTAATAACAACAGCATGCCCAGAGTATGTGAGACGAAGTTTCACTCTCCTTGCACGTCTCCTTGATGTGTTTTATTGGGGTGGGGGGTGTGGATAGAAATCCGATGTATTGAAGTTTGATTGAAGTTTTTTCATAGTCCTCTATCAGGGCCTAAAGCTAAAAGTTAAGTATTAAGGCAGTCCATCGAGACCTTCCAAGCTCCTTCACCTCAAAGGCCTAGTTCCCTTAGCTGGTTAACTATGTCTAAGTTAAAGAAGCTCTCCAAAAGAAGGAGGAAAACTGTGCAGAGTGCAGTTTTCTTTAATCTGCTTATAAGAAACCTTCGGTGAACTCCAGAGTAGACCCTAAGTTAGATAGACACACAGGGAAAGCAATCTTGGGCCTGCATTTTATTACTTAGTGTTCCCAAGGCACAAGACGAAAGGTGCCAAAGTTAAGGGCAGGACCAGACTCTCCTTTAAGGTTTTTAACCTCAGGGACCAGACAGAAGAGGCTTTTGTAAAAAAAGGTTAGAATACAAAGCCCATTTGCTTTCTTCTCTTATTTGAAAGACCACTTCAAGGTAACCCGTGATTGCCCAGAAGCCCAGAGTGCCTGAAACACCTGAAGATCAGCCAGCAAAGTTGAGACTAAACAAGTCCAGATACTGTTAAAAGAAAGGGCGTTAATAAAGAGATTGTGATTCAGTTACGATCATTCTCCCATAGTCCTTGTTTTCTCCTTCATTTTCACTGGGGCTGTTGCTGTGTATTTATAGCTCATTCTCATTGCGATTAAGCTGGAACCAAGTCCTAGCTGACCGACCCGGAGGTTTCTGAGGCCATAAATCACACTGAAGGAGATTGCTCATCATTCTCCCAGGGATCCACTCGTAGATTTGAAGCACTAGAGTTTAGCAGCACCTTTGGCTTAGCAGTACAACTTTTTGCAGCCAAGATTGTATGTTTATCATTTTCATAAAATTTAGGAAGGTTTGCATCTTTATCTTTACAAATATTTTTCACATGCCTTTTTCCAGGGCTTCAATCACATGCATTTAAGGATCACTTAGTATTGTTTTATAGTTGACTTACTCTTTGTTCATTCTTTTCTAATCATCCCCCTTCCGATCCTGAACTTTGTGCTTCATTTTGGGTGATACCTATTGCTGTGCCGAGCGCTCTATTGTTAACCATGAGATTTGCAGTTTAAACTTACCAGCCACTCTGTAGGAGAAAAATATCTATCCACAGATGATGACAGTTTTGGAAACCCTGAGGAGTTCTTCTCTGCCATATAGGGTCTCTGTGAACGAGAATCAATTTGGTGGGTGCTTGGTTTGGTCTCAAGTTCAATAACCTTACTCCTTTGCATTGTCCATACTGAAGTTTTATCTCTAAAATGTCCATCTAAGTCTTTTTATGTTGTTAGGTACTGTTGAATTGACTATGACTCATAGCAAGTCTGTGAACAACACATCAGAACCTTACCCTCACCATATTTTGTACATCATCACCATCTCTGATTTACTTGAGCCTACTGTTAAAAAAAAAGAAAGAAAAGGCTGCTTTTAGGCTAAGATCTAGTGTAGTATGTCTTTTTTATAGATCTTATTTTTTCTTTAATAATATCCACATTTTTTAATGTAATGTATATACAGTTACTATCTTAATTGTTAACTCTGTCATGTTGTTTTGTTTCTGTTAATGGTTCTTCTGTTGGTTATGGATCCTCC